AAGTGAATGGTGCAGAATATGATATCTTGTTCTGGAGCTATTGAACTCTACCTTGATGAAATTTGTTGTGAGAACTTTGTTTTCGTAATTCAAATTACTATGCTAGACTGTTTCTTTCTCTTGTACTGTATACTGCCTTGCGTGTTGAGTGCTTGGTCCCGGCATTGGGTGCTTGATAGGCGGTGGCAGTGTTTGGGTCATGGTGTTTTCTGATGAATTGTTGGTCTTGTTTGTTTATGTTTTTCTGAGTTTGAGGTGCCTCAACTCTGCTGGGGCGGCTCGAGAGTTTTGTGGTGTTTTCTTGGAGTAATGAAAGTTGGTTGGCTATGAAGTTGAACTTTATTATGATTTTTGTTATACAGGTGCATGTTTTCTATATATTAGCTTTAGCTGGACCCTTGAGATTATTGTTGGCTTGCAAGTGTTCTTTTTTACATTATAATATAATTCTGTGGGATAATAAGTTCCTCAACTTGGAGCAAATCTTTGTCTTGTGGTTGTGGAATAACAAAATTTCAGCTTGAAATAAATAACGCAAATTCAGTACTGTCATATTTGTTCCTATTTGAGTGTATCATCTCAAAATATGCAAATTCAAGTTTCTCTTTTGTACCGTGATATTTCCTATTTGAGCGTATCATCTCAACCTATGCAACCCCCCTCGTTTGCGTTACATTCTAATCATAGTCTAATATCTTATGGAATTCTTGGAGGATTAAGATTAACACAAGGGAAGTGAGGAAGATAAAGTAACAAAAGTGTAGAGAGAGTGCTTCGTCTAATAGCAGCACAAACATAAGCGAAAAGAAGCGGTTTCCTCTACGTTTGATCGAAGCAGAGGTGGATTTTAGTCGCCCTCCACATGGTATTCAACCCCCTGTTATACTGATTCGGTAAGAAGAGGCCACAAAGGAAAGTAGGATATGGATTAACCACCTAGTGAAAAGTCTGAACCTGGGATTTTATATTGGCAATCCCTCGGCTATGATCGGACAATAGCGTGGAATACAATAGAGCTCGCGCTTCTTTGATTCGATAGTCGGAACTCTTTGCCTCTTACGTTAGGTCTTTTTATTTATTTATTTATTTTAGGTTAGATCTTAACTCAAAGAAATTGTAAACAGTAGGTTAGGTCTAACTCAAAGAAATTATAAACAAGCATCAATATGACTGAAAATGCAAGAAGAAAGCGGAGAAGGAATACTTCTACCTATCCGCCTTTGAACCTCCACTCTCGCATCACCTCAGCAATACATTTTTGTATGTAAATATTTAAAAGAATTTATGTAGTCACATGAAGTTTGAAACTTCATAGCTTTACTTCGATTCTGGAAATTCTTCAGTAATTTGGATTCTGGAAGAGCTATGAAGCGTGTGGGGAATAGGTATTTGCATCATGCATGTAATTAAATTAGACTCCTACTCCTTTGCAGAACTTCTTCTGGTCCTTGTCATATTATGATCATTAGTGTAAGAATCTCAATAATCATCTTTATGCTCGACTTTCTTAACACGTCATTCCTCCACAATTGCTACTGCATTAAGAGCTAAACTGGAAAGTAGCTTTCTGCACTCATCATCTGAAAGTAACTCTTTTGCATCTCCATCCCTTATCATTTTTTACAAAACTCATTTGAGTAACATTTGATCTATAATACACGAAATGAAAAAAACAAACAAGATTAATCATCTTCGAGAACTCAGACAAAATTATGTTCATGTACGATGTCTATACTAACATAGCAAAGAAGAAAAAGAATAACCGTTTATGGGAATTCAAAACAAAAACTTCTGGTCCTTGTCATATTATGACCATTATGGATCTCGAAACAAAATTTTGTTCATGAATGTTGTATAAACTTGTGTCTATTTTAACAGTCCATCTCTGACAAAAAGGGCCAGCACAGAAATTTGCATTCGCACCCTAGATGTATGGTTGGAAACAATAGCAATAGCCAACTTCAGTCGAATTCGCTGGGTAAGAACTTCCCAAAAGCTGCAAATGATAGTGTGAATACAGAGACACTTGTGTTACAGATCACCGTCGTTATCATGCGTAGCTGCCTTTTCTGTTTCTTGAATAACAAAGGTTTTGAGTGACTCAACATCTCTAGCTCCTGTAACGTTCAATTTCTCACTGCAAGTTAAAAATCAAGCATTGTATCTCTTGAACTTCACGGTCATGCAAAGTGATGAGAGATAAATAGAAGGGCAATTCGGGTTCACAAAAATAAGAAGTTCAATGAGGATAATGCAGAATGTAAGTAGTACTTACATATGAAGGCAAACAAAAGTTGCCACAAGACCTATGGTAGTTAATTTCTAAAGAATAAACTCAAACAACTTCTAAAGTCAGATGCTAATAATACTTGATAGTATGCGATAAATCACATAACTCCATCATGCCCTGTATATCCATCTATTTCGAAGATTTAAGTAAGGTGGAGCAAACATTTACAAACGACTATAGCGGAGGTCAATATTCCAGACAAGGCAACCTCATAACTGTCGACATATTGCACACGAGCTCAAGAAAATTAGAAACGATGTAATAGAAAAGATATGCTGTAGCTTGAGCAAACTTCTACAAAGTCGAACCCATCTCCTAACTATGACCACTACGCCTCAGTTTACGGACAATCTATCAAATATTCTAGAGAAAGATAATGTACTGGCAAAATGGAATAATACAATCTTGAAATACAATCTGTTACCCTTTCATAATGAAGGGACACAAAATTTGACGAACCATGCTGTATAGCACCTAAATAAACAACACAAAGGCCCTTTAAAGTTCTTGAATAATACACAGTTACTCTTAACGACTCAGACGCTGTTTCATAGTATTCATCAAGAATTAACCTTTCTATGCTCCTACAAGTCCAACACCAATTATATTTTGTCTAGTACTGTTTACAATGCTTCCAACAAGAGTTATTTATCTTGGGAAAATTGTCAAAATTGTCACTTGTTGTCTGTGTGTGTTCGAAAGTACCACCCTTGGGTACAATCACGGTTGTTTTGGGTGCTAATACACAAGTGGTATTCCTGAAGACACAAAGGGGAAAAAAAAGGTGGAGTTTTTGCAACTTTCTCCTTTTCTTTTTCATTTTCTTTATCCTGCACTAGTATGAATCTCGTGCGATGAACGGTAAGAGATATTCTTTTATAAATCAGTACCAATCTCGTGCGATGAACGGTAAGAGATAATCTTTAATATTTATAAATTATAAATGTTCATTAAATAATATTTATAAATTAAAAATATAGAATCAATATGTAATACAACTTTCCTATATTAATTTGTTGAAAATAATATATGAAATATTTAAAATTGGCGCACGTTCGGTGCAAGTAGTGCGGGAGGTGTTGTTCGTGATCATTATGGCAACTGGGTTTGAGGCTTTGTGATGAATATTGGGTTTTGTTCGATCGTGGGTGCCGAACTTTGGGGCTTATTTCAGGGGCTGCAAGCCTGCAATTGGCTTGGAATATTGGAGCACGTAAAATCACGGTGAAGGTCGATAATTAAAGCGTTGTTACGATGGTCCACCAAGATGACACTACTGGGCCGTATGGAGCCTCTTGAAATGCATTAAGGATCTTTTACGTCGACCATGGAATGTGAAGCTTATTCATTGCTACCGTGAAGCGAATTTCATAGCGGATTTCTTGGCCTCGTTGGCGGCCAAAGGGACGGGTGGTCTGCATGTGTTGGAACGCCCTCCTCCGGGGGCGGGGTTATGGCTACAACACGATATTGCCGGCGTGTCTCATCCTCGCAGGGTGTTGATATAGTCGGGCTCTAGGCTTTGCCTCCTTTCTTGAACCAAAAAAAAAAAAATTGTCATTTTAAAATATTAGAAATTCAATTTGACTACAACGTGATTCAAGTAAATACAAAATAATTTGATATGTTCCACGCACATTTACAAATCATAGTATTCTCCAAACTTTTCTCTCATTAGTATCGAGTAAAATTCTTAGCAATATAAAACAATATTGAGATACCAATTTTCACCATAAGCGAGTATATTTGATCAATATATAGTATACCAAATAATTCGGCTTAAACAAAGACAAAACTTCCCTTGAAAATTGGACACCACAGGTTTATTGTTGTGCAAATTTCCTTTGAAATTATTTTCAAATTTTTTTCTATATTTCAATTATTGGAAAACTGTCAATTGAATTATAAAAAATGTAATGGAAATTCTATTAGAAAGCTAATTGCATTGGCGGATCCAAATTAATTTCATAATGGGGACCTTATTTAGTTAATTAAAAAGTATATCATCAAAATAACATAACGTCATTACAATATATAAATTATACTTTCATAATTTATCATCTTTCTCATTTGTAATACATTTTTAAACATTAATATAACACAATAAGTTAAAAAGTATATTAAAAAAAGCATAATAATTCGCAATTCAACATAAGAAAATCATTGAAATAATATATTTTAAATTTTTATGAACAAAAATTTTATGTTGCAGTACAGTTCACTCGACTATATAATTGATAAATTTATAAATTATAATATTTAATTATATTTTTAAAAAAATTATAATTATATATAATATAATATAAAGATATACAATTAATAAATTTATCATAATACATATGATCCACAAAGTTCTATACTTGATTTTATGCATTTTTAATTAATCGAAAAGTTTTACACACACACACACACATATATATATTTATATATATAGGTATTAAAAAAATATAACATTAAAAATATAATTAAGTCGTAACACTTACTAATAAATATGAAAAAAATGTAATAACAAAAAAATTAACATTAATAAAAGTAAAAATAAACTTTTAAAACTTGTACTTATCGATTTAAATGAGTTGAATTAATAAACACTTATTAATAGTTTTTTTTTATTACTTATATGTGTAAGTTTTAGGTTATAGACAATACTTATTTGTATTTTAATCCATGTAGGTTAGAACTTTAATTTTTTTTAAGAGAAAAACTTGATTATTTTACTTTTAATTTTATATTTGCTATTATTTTTCGAATATAATATGTAATAATAACTATTTTTATCACTTAATAATTAATATGTAAGAAATGTAACTCAACTCAGAAAAATGAGTAATCTAGAGACAAAATAAGTGATTTCTGAAAAAAAAATATAGACTAACAAAACTACTACATAAAAATTTTAATGTTTAAGAAAAAATACAACAAAAAAATGATATATTGCAATGAAAAATCTAAAGGAATGTATTCCGCTTTCAACGGATATTTCATTGATATAACTTTCATTGGAAAATTTCATTGGCTATTCCAACAAATATCAAATATATTATATTAGAATTTTAATGGGTTTAAATATATATTTATTGAATTGAGAATAATTATGCTTTTTTTAAAATTTTTAACTTATTGTGATTGTATTAATGTGTTAAAAATGTATTATAAATGAGAAATATGATAAATTATGAAGTATAATTTATATATTGTAATGAATTGATGTTATTTTGATGGTATACTTTTGCAATTAACTAAATAAGGTCCCATTATGAAATTTATAATTGATAAATTTACAAATTATAATATTTGAGTATAATGTTAATAAATAAACATAATTAAATATACTATAAAGATATACAATTAATTGATATATAAAAATACACTCGCAAAGTTCTATACTTGATTTTATGTATTTTAATTAATCGAAAAGTTTTACACACAGACACACACATATTTACTATATATAGGCATTAAAAATATATAATTGTCGTAACACTTACTAATAAATATTAAAAAATATAAACAAAAAAATTTTACAATTAATAAAAATAAATATAAACTTTTAAAACTTGTACTTCGATTTAAATTAGTTGAATTGTTAAACGCTTATTAATAGTTTTTGTTTATTACTTATATGTGTAAGTTTTAAGTTATAGACAATAGTTATTTGTATTTTAATCCATGCAGGTTAGAACTTTATTTTTTAAAGAAAAAAACTTGATTATTCTAATTTTAACTTTTTTTTGAATAGAACGGCAAAGCCGATACAAGCTAAATGAAGAAAAATAAAGGAAAAAACAACAAGGGAAGAAAACCAAAAACCACAGAGAAAGCACCAAGCAAAGACGCCCAAAGGTTATAAGCGCTGATAAGGAAACATAGCTGCATCCTTAGCCAATAGAGTCAGTAAATCGTCCGGAGGAAACACCCAAGTAGTGAAGAAAGCTTCTTCCTTGGATCCCCTCCTTGCCAAGCAATCTGCAACGGAATTGCCCTCCCTCCAAAGGTGAAAAAACCGAATATCCTGGATCGAACTAATCTTGTCCTTAATGTTCATGATTAGTCCCCCCATAACATGAGTATTAACAGCTGCCATGTTAATCAACCTGAGAGCCTCTTGCGAGTCCGAGTAACAGGTAAGGGCTGTACACCCCCGAGCCAATGCTAGAGATAACCCTTCGAAAATAGCAATTACCTCGGCCAAATTATTATCTGCAATGCCAATGTTACCTGAAATACCCTCAATCCACACCCCCTCATGAGTGCGCAAAACAGCCCCAAATCCAGAAGGCCCCGGATTACCCATGGACGATCCGTCCGTATGCAAGATCATACCAGTACACTGAAAGGGGTTCCATGTGACTGTTTTCGGCAAAGTGTTATGGCATACCCCATCCACAAGCCTATCTGCCCACAACCGCGTATCCTTCCACCATTGGAAAAAAGAAAGAATTTCCTTTACAACAGCAAAGGGAGACTTAGGAGGATTTCCGAACACCAAATGTACATAGTAATGTAGTAGATTATACAATATAAAAAATATCAACAATTAAATGATACTGTTGATTATTTTACAAAGATATTCATGAACTGTTGGTAGAAATACTTTATAAAGATCATACAATCATAAAGTTTGACTGTTTGACAAATTGTATTTACAAGTGTTTGAATAAAACAGACGTTTTTCTAAATGAATTAAGAAGAATTTTATAATAGTATTTATGTATTGTGCTCCAACGAGTATGAATGTTTCTTATTAAAATATGTCAAAACTAAAATAAAAAAAAAAACCACTCTTTAATTATCTAGCATAATTAAAATAAATAACTAATGCATCTATAATATACATTAGGTCATTATTTAGTTATTTTGTGTTTTTTTTCATTAGGGACTATATTTTTGTCGGGGT